AAACGTAAGTAATTTTATAAGCAATTTGAAGCAGCTGCGGACAATGCTATCAATACATTGACGAACATATTAATAAATGTTTGAAAATATAACAAACAAATCTGCTATATATAGATATATACATATATTACGTATATATATATATAATGAAGTCATTTACCTTTTGTTTTGTGTTTCGAAATGCTAACAACACCGAGTACTTCAGCTTTTAAAAAAACCTTTTTTGTGTGTTAATTTTTCAAAAATTCAAAAATTAAACATTTTTTTAATTTTTTCATGACTGGTTTGATATATGAAACATTTAAATAATTTAAACGTGCAGGTATTGTAAATTTCAACCTCATTTAACCATTTTTCTTTCTGCTGGCCTAACAAGTATTTAGGATTGTAAATATATAACTTTCAATCAGATTTTTTTGGTGTCGTGTTGATTTTTATTTATTTCAGCTATAATTTATAATATTTTTAAACAAAAGTTAGTGAAAAACTAAGATTTATCAGTGTTGCTGTAATTTGTTAATTTGCAAAAATAATGAAATAATTCTACCTTAGTCGATCATTATAGATTGTTCAATTATCATTTAGGCAGCGAATAATTAAAAAATTTTTTTTTTTTTACTTATATGTGAAGTCAGATAAATTTGTGAAATTATAATTAAAAATAAAAAACAATCTTAAAATAATTAATGATAAAAAATTAAAAAAACCATTACATACATTTTACACAAAGTATTTTATATTTCACTATATATTGCCTTTTTGTCATAAAATTTTTGTTTTTTTAATTTATTCTATTTGCATACTTAAATTCTATATAAGAAAGGGAATTTTTTTGTATGTAATATATGCAGATGACTAAAGACTACGCAACAAAATTTAAGTACTTCATTGTTTCATGTAATAAAACTAATATTTATTTTTATTGCTAATAGATTTAGGTCTATCAGGTCCATACATGACCTCCGCCAACCAGTTGAAGCTATGTGATTTCTTTAATGATAATTAATTTAAAGGTTTTTTTCCCACTGCAAGTTATAAAAAATACTTATAGTTGCATCTATCTTAAATCTATAGTAATAATATCTTTACTTTATCTATTGTTCACAGTTAATTATTATTAAAAATAATAATTATAATCATAAGTTGTAAATAATAATGAGGTATAAATCGGAAAAAGTCATTTTCTCTTAATGTACTTCAATAAAAAAATATGAATATCATGTGATATTATAATTATAAACTACTTTTGTATATGTACATAAAGATTTAAAAAATTAATTCATTCATTTTTGTGTGGATTTTTTTAAAAAATTACAAAAGTTTGTATAATATTAAGAATATTGACGATTTTGAAAACAGGTTGAGACCTTCTAAAGAAATATTAAATTTAAAATAACATCAAAAATAATAAAAAAAAAGTTTTACTGCGTTGTGGAATACATACTGGATTTATACAAAAAATCGAAAGGAGTTTAAATGAAACTCTATCGTTCACACAGAGATACTTTATAAACACAAATACTGCTACAATAGCCGCAATTTTTTCTTTCAGAGTTGTAAAAAAACAGCATTAAGTCTGGTTGAAAGTAATTGGCATCACTTTTAAAATATGTTTAATGCTTTTTTTTTTGACATATATTTTCTGTTGTATTTTGTGCAATATAAAATATGAAAATTGTAAACACTAAAATAATAAATTTAAATAAAAGAGAACAAAATGAATATTAATATAGAAAGGCAATAGTAAGCATTTTTATTTTATATATAGTAATTGAAATGCTCATATGATTTCAACGGATGACTAAAATTTTAAAATAAATTACCAGTGAACATTTATAATAGACTGATTTTTCAATTTGGCTGCACTGCCACTTAAGAATTAAAATTTTTTGCAAGTAAAACCTAACTCTGAAGATTTTGGGAACATTGTTGTTGCTTCACATGTTTTCTTTTGTAAGTTACGAGTATTTTTTTGCTACTCTGAAGGAAAAAATTACGGCTAATACAGAGATTTGTGCTGAGGAAGTAAGGTTGTGTTAATAAACCAAACATTTTCAGAATTGATGTTAGTGTCTTGATATATAAACTAAAATTTTTGACCCATTCTCCATCGATCATTATTCTTTAATGGTAAATAAACAATCGAAATTAATTCTTATAATTTAAAGACATAAGCACCTTGGTATGTTAAAAGTGCCAATAAATAGAAATATTCACATATATTTCACAGTTTCTGAAGTTATGCATATATACTTAAAAAGACATTAAGCTCGACATGTTACTATAATACTAGAATAAATTAACTAATTACCCATTTCATAATTAATAAATCAGAATAAAAAAACTATTGATTGGCACTGTATTTATTGTGTATCTAATTTATATCATATTATTTACATTTTATTAATTAATTTCTAATTAATCGCAAAATTAAAAATTTACATTGTTTTATCAATGATTGCAAGAATGTACATAATATAAGTATATATATAAAATATTCTTATTCAGTTTGTATAAAAACTTCATAGGACTGTTATAATCGTCAGAACATCAATTGAGTACCCTTAATCATCATATTACATACAATGACTCCAAGATTGGACTGTATAAGTTGCAAAGTATATTTTTAATATTTTGTGTTATGTGTTTAATTTTATTATTTTATTTTATTATTTATTTTATTTTTTCTTAAATAATGTTTATTTTTTTGAATTCTGGTAATATTTTGTAAGATAATTGAAGCTAAAAAAAAAAATCTGCAGCTTCTAAACTAATAATTTTTATGAATTTTGCTATAGAATCATTTATGAAGGTTTTAAATAGTATCTCAAGGCTTACAGATAGACTTAGTGCAACATTGCCTTTGAGTATATTAAAACTATTCCATCTGCTCTGGGGTTTTAGATATTTTAGATTTGCAGTGTTTATATTATTTTGGTAAAAAATAAAAATAGTTATAATACTCAATTCTTTTTTATTTATATTATAAAATTGTACTTATAAATTTATGCACGAATCTAAACATATAACAAGTAAAATAAACTTTAACTTAATCTAAGGTAATAACATTTTATTAAGCCTAATAGCTGATAATAGAAGACAGTAATCTGATAATTTTCTGTCTAAGTCATTTTATTACTTTATCCTTTACTTATGTATATATAAAATTAAAATAAAACAAAATTTTTTATAATATTTTTTAAATATATTTTTATTTTTTTTATTTTGGTAATTTTTTAAAGATTCTAAATGTGAAGTAAAAATTTATAGTTGAACTATACTTTTTATGATTGAAGTAACTCAAATAATAATATTGATCTTCATACAACTATATAGACTATAGCTGATCATGTTCACTAGATTTTGAAGAAGAACACATCTTGAAAACTATAAATAATTGAAAATACTATAGATATTATGGTATTCATATAGTATTATAGTGTTAATTTGTTTCTTTAAAATAATATGAAAATATTTTCGAGTCCATAAAAATTATTTTTTCTTTTAAATATGATTACATATATTAGTAAGGAGACTAATATATGTAATCATATTTATTTTACCTATATATTTCGTAGGTATTTAGAGTACTTAAGTATTTTAAAAATATTTTCGATACAGAATAATACAGGCGTTTAGAAAACATTTGGCTTTACATTATATTCCTAATATTAAAAATATTAATAAAATATTAAAATTATTAATATTAAAATATATTAAATATGATTTAAAAAAATACATGATGAAGGCAAAAGCGAATTTACCGAAATACGTGTAGGAATATACTTAAAATATCGATCCAAATAAAAGCTAAAATTTTTAAAAAACAAAACCGATTTTAAAATATTTTCGAAAATTATACAATTTATTGTTTTATTTGACTTTATATCTATATTTGACTTTAGATATTTTGTTGGCTTTGAAGCATTTTCTAGATACTATAAAAAAAAAATCGACGAAAAACGCCAATTGACATTGAGAGATGGGCTTTTCTCAGTAAATATTTTGATAAACTTTGTACCACAGATTTTTCAAAAAATTCTTTAAATTCATTTTTATTTTATATAGAACATGCTACATTATTCAACTATAATGAAATGTTATTACCTTAATATATGATATAAAAAATTGCCATTTTTTCAAAGTTATAATTAAAATTTGGTGCTTAATATATTAAATTAATAATAAGTTTATTAAATGTTTATTGTTAATATATATGTATATAGGTAGGTATACTATATTTAGAATTTAATGCATGTCATTGACATATTTGAGTTGAAGTCAAATTGGATGCAAACTTGTGCACATATCTTACACCTATGTACGTCCCCGGCAATATAAATATATATTTATTATACAATACTTTGAACCATAATTTCAGTAATTTTCCATTGGTAAAAGTATGCTTTTGACGTATATTTCGTTAATATTGTATTTTCATTCAAATTATGAAAAATAAAAAAATGATAATAAAAAATTAAGCATTTAAAGAGCGAGAGAAGGAGACAAAGAGAGGAAGAGGGAGATGGAGATGGAGAGGGAAAGAGAGTCATAAAATTAGTTGCTGAACATGTATCTTTTTTTGTCTTGTCTTTCAGTCTATAACAAATAATATTTTCAAAACATTGCCACACATTACGAATTGCCCGCAAAATATGAACAAAAATATCAGTCCGTTGATAAGAAATTTTACAACAAATTTTGATACATAACTTATTGTAAGTTAATAATCCCCAAGAAAACAATAGTATAATAATTTTTTTCAATATTTCAATTTATTTTATTTTCACATATGTATATTCTACATATATGTATATTGTTTATGTAGACTGTTTATTTTTAATGTTTGTTTTTATTATTTATATATACGGTTTATTGTCTCAAAACATTCCGTTGAGTTTGCATTTGAAGTATAGCACAGCACATATATTTGTTATGAACTTGAGATTTTTTTAGATATTTTGGTCTCCTAATTCTATTCGAATAACTTTTTCACTTACCCCAACTTTTAGGTGTACGTCCGAAATAGGTTCCATTTTTTTTATCATATATCATTTTACCGAAACTTATCTTTTCCTTTGGGGCATACCATGTTGGCATTTCGGTTAACGCGGGACTGCTACCGTTCTTTTTCGACATCTTGCTTAACTTTCCTTTATTATTAATTATATAACACAAAAATTATTTATTTTATTTATTTTATTTTAATATTTTTATTTTTGTAATTCTAAATTATTTTTTGATTAATCGTTTTTGGCTATATTTCAATATTTACAACTGCCAAAAATTAAAATCTATAGTTAATGATGTTAGGGAAGGGTTTAGGGTTTATTGTTCTCGAGTGTGTGTCTTATAAAAAATATTTCTAAAAACTATTTTTATTATTTTAAACAATGAAAAATAGAACAATGAAAATCGTTCAAAAATTTTTATTTATATTTTTTTTAATTTTGTTAATATTACTGATATTTTATAAGAATTATAATAATTTGAAATTAATGTAAATTTTAGAATTTCTTTGTTTGATTCATGATTTTTTTGAAATGCACTACTAGTATATGTATTTCTTTTTAACAATTAAATTAACAATTTATTTTTTTTTTGTTTCGTAGAACTATGTTATATATATGTAAATATATTTTATTTATTTATTTTTAAACAGAAATTATGTAAATCCTGCACGCGTGCTACGAAACTAAAAAGCAAGATCGGCACTCGTTAATATGCAACTATCACTAAACACTCACTTCGCGCTGTCGTTACTGCCACTCGATTCTGATTCTGTCTACCTTAACTCAACTGAACCGCACCGAAGAACTGCGATAACTGATTCAAAAGCGAAAAGAGCCGTTGGCTATACTATGCGAGAGACTAACTAAAACGAAACGTTCGCGGGAGCAGATAACAGTGCTAGCACCAGCTTGCCAAGTCAGCGCCATACAAAATAACAACAATAACATAACCCAACTCCAACAACATGTTGAAGTTAAGCACAAGAGACACTCATGCGCTGAAAAAACTTTGTAAGGCATTTGCTGCCACACATATTTGTTGTATTATGTTTACGTTAATCGTTTTTTTACTTTTGTTTAATCGCATGCCATGCACAAGAACAAACTCACCACACAGTACGTAGTGTGGTGAATAGACAGCACTAGCTTAAGTACTTTTCGTACATTCGTCTAAGGTATGCGCAACTGAATGAAGAAACGAAGTTTGTGCAGCAAAAAATTAATATGAAAATTAATATGTATATTATATTATATTATATTATATTATATTATATTATATTATATTATATTATATTATATTATATTATATTATATTATATTATATTATATTATATATATTATATTATATATATTATATTATATATATATTTATAATAAAATGTAGTATTATTATTTATAATATAATATATTATATTATTTTATATATTATACATTACATTTCATTATTTTATGTATTACATTATATTATGATATATATTTTATTACTTTATATATATTATTTTATATATTATATTACTTTATAAATATTGTTTTATGTATGACATCGTATTATTATTATATTATAACACTTTTTATATTATACTACTTTTTTTATATGGTATAATATAATATACCATACCATATAATATATATTATTTTATATTATATTATAAGATTTTATTATATTATATTATATTATATATTATATTGTATATTATATTGTAAATTATATTATATTGTATATTATATTATATTCTATATTATATTATAATATATATTATATTATAATATATATTATATTATATTATATTATATTATATTATATTATATTATATTATATTATATTATATTATATTATATTATATTATATTATATTATATTATTGAAGATTTTACGGTCATTTTATATAGTGTCGAAATATTGGTAAAATTATTAAAATTATTATTAAGGCTGTGTGCGAGTTTGAGTAAATTGATGGTAAATTGAGGAAATAGTAAATTATATGGATATGACAGCGAATGTTGGTATTTACCAGAATTTCGAGCAGGATAAATTAGATAACAATTATGTGAATTAGGTGTTATCGTTATGAAAATTTTATAAGGTGTTTAATAAATAAATAAATAAATTTAAATTTTACCAAAAATAATAAATAAGTGCAATAAATAAATAAATAAATTAATAAATATTTACATATGTGAAGTACAAAAAATACCGAGGAAATTTCAATTTATTTCACTTTAATTTACTCGAATTCGAACACGGTCTAATAATTAAATTATTATTATTATTAAAATTATTATATTATTGGTATTTAAATTATTTATATTTGTTTAATTTTTGAAAAAGTTGAAAAAGTAAACAATTAGCCCGTTTGAAAAATAAAAACAAAATAAATAAAAAATTTATTTATTAACAAGTTACCGAGTTCAGAATGAATATCTCCAGTATTAATTCATATATTTCTACTATAAGGTGACTTTTTACCTCTTTTTTTCTACTATATAATTTTTTAATTTATTAAATAGATTTTAAAATCTTTCTGGAAGTTTCTAGAAGTCTTCAAGTTTTTCTGGAATTGAAGAGCGGAAAAAAATGCAATCGAAACAAATTAAGCCGAGCTTGTTACCATTAAGAATACCAATTCCAATATCCTGTTCTGTTGTATTATTTATGATTATAAAATTTATCAATGCTTATAATAATAAGTTGTTTATATTTTTTCTTATATAATTGGTAGAAGTTAAGTGGAAGCAAAACAAAAAATTAAATTAAAAACAAACTTTTTGCTTTAGTAAATATAAGAAGACTTAGAGCTTACATCAACTTAGTTCTGCCAATTCCGAGATGTTTTCCTATTTAATTAAAATCATTTCGGGTATCTGTCCTATTTTACCGAATTAAATTTTTATATTATTATGTTACACCGGCGATCTTAAAAATCCACATAAGCCTTTTGGCCCTAAGTGTTACATAAATTATAATAATAATTAATAAATTTAATTATTTAATAAAAAAGAATTTTATCTCTTATAACAAGAAAGCTATTTAGAATATACATTCTAAGTATAATTCAAAGAATGGCAATAATGGGGAAATATATATGTACATATGTATATCCAAAAAACACACAGCTGTTGAAGCTATCGTCAAATAGCTGTCATCAGTGATTTTTGAAGAATCTGTTCGTGAAATATAAATAATATAATTATAATAATAATATAATTTATTATAATTAAATATAATTAAATACAGTCAAACTTCCATTATTCGAACTTCTATAGCTCGAATTTTCTATAACTCGAACCAAAAACAGTACACCAAGGTTTCAGAGAGCAAATTACATACAATTCTACTTCCATAACTCAAACTTTTATAACTCGAACTTCTTTATAACTAGAACAAAAATTTTTTCCTGTACCGATAGCAATATGAGGAAAGTGCTTTCTATTAGTCAAATTTTTGTTTTAAGTATAAATTCATTTTGCTGTTAGGGAAAGTCCCTTACTCCAAACCAAATGTTTAATTTTTTCTTTCTGGTATTGCTTCTTTATGCAAATGCCAGTCGCTGGCAGCTTGGTTTAAAGTTAATAAAATAACTTCCAATGCTACTTTTAACGATTATATTGAGCGTGACAATGAAATTTGTACATTAAACTTTCTTACAGATGATGATATTATTGAGCACAGAGGTGAGGCGTCGAATGGTTCAGAGTGTTCACTGAACACCTTAACAAAGCTTCCTTTTTAGATCTTTTTTTTATTAGGTAAATAATCTCGCTATTTTGTTACTTAACATTTTTTATAATAGCTTTTCCAAACATATTAGCATAAACACTTCCAAACATAAAAACATAAAATCGCTTTACATTTGACGAGAAGTTCAGTCGACCAAATTGAAACCCAAGTTAATACAATGCGTGCAAATACAATCAAAGTCACGGATGCCGTTTTATATGGGCAAATGGTTCAATAAAAAAATTGAACCGCTCATAGTAAATACAAAGTAAAAGAGTAAATGAATGCATGAGAGTTTCTTACTCTTATGCAGTGGTTGGAAATAAACCAAAAACAAAGTCATTATTGCAATTTTATACTAGCAAATGGTAAAAGTAAAGAAAAAATTAAAGAAATTTAAAGTGAAAAATAATATTTAGAAATAAATTAATGTGTGATTAAAGATTTGATTCAAATATCTTTTTTTAAGCGACCTTCGAAAAAAAAGGTTTTAATTCATAAAATGAATAGACCAACTCCAGATATGAAGAATTTGGTACCTGATGTAAAAATGTCGATATCTGTGGTAAGTCGCCGTTTTCCCACAGCTATTTACCATAAAAACCAGTGGATCACAGGCTGCGAACATTTAAATAAATTGTTTTGTTGGTCTTGTACGCTATTTGCTTGTGGAAAGAACAAAACTCAGGAGTAGGGGGAATACGTTATAGTTGGAATTCTGTTTTGGTCAAATTGTAAACACCTTGCCAAAAAGCTGACGCCTCGCTACTGATTGAGCATTATAGTTCTGAATTTGTGGATCTGATTCTAAGCGCAACGGAAAGTGATGATGAGGGTTCGGTTCCGAAAAGGTTATATGTTAGAAAACATAATTACCTATATAAGTCCGTTTTAGACACACCAGTAAAGAAATTTAAAGAAACTAGATCTCAATCAGTAGTGCTAAAGCCTGAACTTAATCAAAACGTACACTCGGCTGAAAATATTGGTGCTGTTGATGAATGTCGAAGAATCTTCAAATGTGTCAATTACACTGCGTGTAAAATATTTACTTCAATAATGAGGCCCGTTTATTATTTGGTGAATGATTTGAATGAATGATGTGTTAAAACTCAATATAATACTTATGGATGTAGTCAGGAACCTAGTCAAGTATGACCAAATATTTTTTTTGCTAAAATATTATTTACATATTTTGTACATACTATTATATAAATATAAAAGAAAAATTTTAAATATATAAAATTTACAAAGGCGATTGCAGACAAGGCGCTTAAGTTTATGTGTAAGTTTATATTTAATTAATGTCTTCGTCATACATTTCTATACCACCTATACCTATAGGTGCGTGTGTTCAAGATAACACACGCACCGAAACGTACTAAAGGATTTTTGCAACCGATAAGATTAACTTGTTGATAACAAGAAGTTACTAGTGACGTAATTTGACAGTCATGCAGCACGTAACCTTTTATTGTTTTTAAGTAACAATAAATTTAAAGCAATCTTAGTAGCCGCCACAAAAAGTATGTTGATTAAACATTTTTAACGGTAGATTTCAAGTAACCTGTGAGAGAGCCACAAATAATTGCGTGGAGTGGATTTCACTTACGTATGACTTTAGGTATCGGAAATCATCAGTGGTAGTAGATATATAATTGACTCATATAACTTTTATTAATTTAAAATACTTCATTCATCCAAATTATTATAAACATTAGACATAAACAACATTTAACTATAAACTATCTATGTTAAACTATTACAATTAATTGGAGGTTGGAATATTAGTAGGAATAGGAATAAATGGGTTATCAGCTCCCAACGGATGCGAAACACTGCGACTATGGTTGGTCTTTTGTGCTACAACAGACCCTAACCGAACAGAAGACATTCTACCTTCCGAAGACTAGCAAGTTGTAGTATTATATAATGTAGTAAATGAGTTTAAACATAAGTATATAAATATACAGTAAATGATTAACATATTGCCAGTCGTGACTATGTTGTAAGTTTCTATTCCAGGCACAGATATGTCAACCAGCATACAGTCTATATATCTATACCCTTTACTCCATTTTATTTTTGAAGTATATTGCTAATCGTAGGACATAAAAAATTTAATTGGATATACATAAAAATATTATATATAACA